AGTTGGAGAAACTGAGGCCCGAGCGGGGAAGGGAGGTGGGACCTCTTGTTCAAGGACCTGACCCCAGCCTGTCCTCCCTCCCACCCATTCGCACCCTGTGCCGGTCCTGGGGTAAGGGAGAGGGGAGTCTGGAGTCCGATCCCCCGGGAAGGGGGCGGGCCCTCCGCCCGCACCGATGTGCAGGCGGCCGGCACAGCAACCAGACACCGACGATGAATAAATGATGCCCGCTCGCAGCCTGCGCCCAGAGCGCCACCGCCGAGCGCCAGCTGGCCAGGGGGCAGTCACAGGAAAAAAGGACATCGCTCAGCTCCTGGACCTGTGGCCGAGCGGTGTGAAGATGGCGGGGCGGCGCGGCAGCGCAGGGCCTCTCTGGGCGCTGGGCGGCCCTGCGCTGGGGCTCTGCCTCGCGGGGGTCGCCGGGCAGCTGGTGGAGGTGAGGCTGGGCGGCGCGTGGGGGCTCGGGGTGGCTGGCACCAGTCCAGGTAGAGGGTGGGGAGCGCCTTTCTGACCGGGAGCTGCCTTTTCCCTTCCTTTTGCCCTGGGAGACCCGGCTTAATGGAGTGACACAGCCCTGCCCCAAGCGCTTCCAGGCTGTGGAGAAGATTCAGCTCCGATTCTAGGGTCTGTGGCCTGATGGGAGGGCACGGCCCCTGATTTCAGGGACGTTCTGATGGAGGACACTCACCCTGACCTGATCTTAAGGATTCCCTGTCCCATTGGGAGACACAGAGGTGCTCAGTCTGATGGGGACCCTGGGGGGAGGGGTGCATAGTCCTTGGTTTCAGTGACCTCTAGTCTGAGAAGTCAGAGATCTAGTCCCTGTTCTTAGGCTCTGCTGGAGGCAGCAGCTTCTGCCTCCAGAGATCCTCCAGGGCTCCCCATCCGATGGGCGAGACAGCCTGGGGAAGGAGGAGAGGGCATTCCAAGCTGGAGGCTGGGGACAGGAGGACGAGAGACCCTTTAGACCCTCAGCCACGTGCTGAGTCGACTCCATGCCAAGCCCTTGGCCCCGGAGGGGAAGGGCAGGAAGGACGGGACCCAGGGCCTCAGGGTCTGTCTTGGTCCTGGGGATAATGGGGAGCTAGCAGAGGTTTCTGAGCAGGGGAGAACTGTGATGAGTCCTGGTTTGGACAGAGGAGGATAAATTGGAAAAGGGAACATAGTAGGGAGAACGGGGAGGAGCTGCTGAGAGTGCATAGGAGAGATGAGGAAGATGGCTGGCTGGGTGGTTGGCCAGGAGCCTGGCTGGGGCCAGGAAGGGCTGGGAGGGCCAGGGTGGGAGCCATCTGTAGCCTCCCTGGCCCTTCTGTACCCTACTGCTACTGAGCAAGGAAGGGGCACCAAAGAGGCAGACCAGACCTCAGAATTCTGCAGCATGAGGGCGGAGAGAGAAGGCCCAGAGGCCAAGGAGGGGTGGAGAACGGAGCCTGTGCAGGCAGGGACAGAGCTGAGGGAGGAGGGACGCACCCCGGAGATCCCTGAGGTGGCAGGTGCTAGAGGACGCGATAGGAAAGGGAGGACAAAGCCTTATCCTAGAAGTCTGAGGTGACACAGCCCTGAACTAGAGGGTCTGAGGGACATGGGGCCCGAGCTCTGAACCCCAAAGCTAGGCTGTCCCTGCTCTTGATCAGGGGGCGTGATCAGAAGGCTGGGCTGGAGTCAGATGTCAGCTCCAGTATCCCTGTAAGGGGAGCCAGGCTGGCTGGAGCCACACGGCGTGTACTCAGGCCCCTCGCTGACTGTCCTGAAGCCTCGGGTGCAGAAACTGAGCTGACCTGGGTGCAGGAGAGGCTGAGGGTGGGGGTCAAGTCAGTGCTGAGCTAAGGACTCTCCCAGGCCCCAGGAGCACGTCTTCTCCCAGCTCATTAAGGGAAATTGCATTTTGAGTCCTTCTACCTGCCATCTGTCTACAGCCTGAGCAAAGGCCTAGCCGAGCCTGGGAGATCTGGGGAAGCACCAGAAAGATGGGCAGCACTGGGGTCCATGGCATCACCCACCCCAGCCCATGGGGTCCATGGCATCACCCTCCTTCCAGCTGAGGATCCGATGAAGGCTGGGGCCTCCAAACTTCAGAGTTCAGCCCCCCAGCAGTGCCCACCACAAGGAGATGCCTGACTGCTACCTGTTACCCTCTGCCCAAGACCCCCACAACTGCCCAGTCCCTGGCCCTGGCACTACCAACGTGTGCTGACCACACCTACGTGTACTGCAGCCACAGGCGTACCCTATTCCCACAAGTGTGCGCCCAACTCCACATGTGCCCAACCCCACACGTGCTCCAATCCCCCACACGTGTGCCCTAAACCCGCACTTGTGCACGTGTGTGACCCCGCACAGGGATCCAGGCCCCTGGGGTGATGCTGAGGAGAGGTGTCTTCCTGTCAATCTTGTCACTCAGGTTGGGTGGCGAGAGCTTCCCAGAGACGCCTGGAGCAAAGCACTCGAGTTACAGATGGAGAAACTGAAGCCTAGAGAAGGTGCCCACCCCAGTTCCCCTGGTTAAGAGAGAAGAGCTGGGGAATCAGAACCAGTCCTGGCACCGAGATCCTCCCGGGGACCTGGGACGGGCTGCTATTCCTCTCCAAGTGCGCCCGACACACGCCAAAGGGCCGTGTTCGTTAGATGAGGGAGCGCCTGGTGTGTGGTGGGTGCCCAGTCCGTGCATGGCCTGGGGGAAGACCAGGTGCATGGCGGCCCAGGGGCTGCCTCTCCTTCCCAGAGAGCCTGAAGAGACTCCTCCCGTCTGTCCTTGTTTGGTTAACTCTTTTCCCGCTTAGAAAAAAAAAAAAAAAAAAACGCAGCTCGCTGCCGGCGCTGATTTAACGTCACACGTAAGAACGCTGCGTTTTCTAGGATTTGACATTGGCCGCGCTCGAGAATTACCACATTTTGTAAGTGGAAATACCACTAGTAAAAACAGAATGCTATAAATAAAATGATGTCATTTGTTTCCAAAGACTATCTATATACTAGAGCAATGCAAAAATAACAATAAAAGGGAAATCTTTTGTGGCAAACTTTGAGGGTAAGGTTAGGGCTGTAATCCGTGAGTTATCTCGGGGTAAATGCTGCAGCCGCCAGCACCGCCGGCGAGTATGCTCTGGGCAGACGGGAAGCGGGTTAATCGGAGGGCAACATATTGCACAGATGTCCCAGGGTCCTCTCTCCTCCTAGGCACTAACTTCCATCCACTCCACCAAGCTTGGTGACAGAGGTCATAGCCCTGTCAATCCCACAGACCAGGAACAAGTCCTGCTCAGACCCCCCAGAGCAGGGCCATGACCCCTCAGACCCCTATGGCAGGGCCATGTCCCATCCAACCTCCAGGGCAGGCTGGTGCCCCCGCGAGCCCCCAGGACAGCGTGGGTCCCATTGGGAAGGCGGGAGGTCACTGTCTGTCTTTGCTCTGCTCAGACCTCTCCAGCCGTGCTTACATCTATTGGCCTCCAGGTGTCACTGTCGTATTGCGGACAAATTATTTATCTGGTTCTGTTCTATGAGGACTCTGTCCTAGCTTTCTGGTCAGAGGAAGTGACTCTGGAAGGGTAGGCGACTGTCAAAGCCACCTGGTGGGAGTCCTGGCCGGGCATCAGAGTCACAGTCCCTGACTCCACACCCCACCCCACACTGAGGGTACAAAATCCCCAGGGCAACCCCGACCTGGACGTGTCTCTGGCCTTGGTCCTGAGTCCCCATCTGCCTGTGGGGGCCTAGGACCTGAGCCGGGGGAGAGACCTGCAGGCTGCCTGAAGAGACCTTGAACCTGATGAGAACAGGCCATCTACTTTTGCCCCTACGGCCCTTGGTTTCCCCAAGCATCGACTACCCTCGCACTCCAAGTCCCCAGCTCCATGGTTCTGGGGCTCAGTTCTCCTCCCTTTTTCTAAATCTGGAACTTCCCAAGGTCTAGGTGATTGGTTGTGAATGCCTAGGACACTTGATCATATTCTGAACTGCTTGGGCTGAGTCCTTGCTGAGACCATGGCGTCTCTCGGCCCAGTCCCAGCCCCTGGCCTCTGCCTGGCTCAGTCCCCTTTCTTCTGACCCACAGCCCAGCACAGCACCACCCAAGCCCAAGCCGCCCCCGCTGACCAAGGAGACAGTGGTGTTCTGGGACATGCGCCTGTGGCACGTGGTGGGCATCTTCTCGCTCTTCGTGTTGTCCATCAGTGAGTAGCTGCTCCCCGCCCTCCCTGACACACCACAGTGGGAGCATCGCACCCCCCGCCCCCCCCAGCACCCCCCCAGGGGCTCAGAGCGGCAATTCCGGGCAGTGCAAGCAGGCCAGGCGCCCGCAGGAGGCCCACTGTGGTTTCTGGCACCTCTTGATCCACACACAGTCCCTGTGGAGGGCTGACAGGCCGGTGGTGACCTGAAGTATTCATGGCAATTATGGTAATTACAGGGGACTCCATGATCCAGGACGAGGACGTGTCATTTTTCCCTATAGCGGGCCTCCTGATGCTTTTCCTGCAGTTTGGCCAGCTTAAAGGGCCCACACCCAGGGGCCCCGGCAAGGCCGCCCTTGGCTACAGCTCAGTTCAGAGGCTCCCCAGATGCCCAGCAGATGTGGCTCCCAGGCTGCAAATCCTACTTTGTCAAATACCATCTCTCCGAATGACTCACACCCACCTCAATTAAAAGCAGGAGACCCCCATCCTCCCCTGAGACTGGGAGTTGCTTGATGCAAAGTCACAACAGAAATGGGCTGGGCATGGTCCTTTCAGTCATCTTTCTGGGGAGGGGATCTGGAATTGGGGAAGGGGGGCAGAAAATGCCAGTTGGGTGGGGGAGACCGCCATGGCACAGAGTCTGAGGGAGGGTCCTATAGGCCAAGGGGGTGGGGGGCAGGCAGTGAGGGGAAGAAAACCCACTCCTCCTGCAAAAGCTTCAGACAAGAGGGGATGAGCTGTGGAGGGGCGGGGTTTCCAGGGGGGACTGTTGGGAAGGTGCACCAGGCGAAGGGATGGTGTGGGCAGAGGTGGGAGGAAACGGCCTCCACACAGGTCTCAGATAACCTCTGCAGGACGTTTGTCGAGTGACCTCGGGTCAGGGCTGAAGTGGCATTTAAGTTCTAGCTGGAGCTGGACGAGGTCCCCTGAGGGCACGGCTGACAGCAGAAGGCCCATCCAGATGTGGGGGCTCCAAGGGAAACAAGGACATCTGATTTGCATGTGCTTCTCCTGGCACCAGAAGCGCCCTCCCTGCGGGAACCCGTCCACCCCACCCCTCTACCATCTCTTCGCGGCCGGGGTAGGAGCGGGATCTGAGCAAGAGGCTGCATTTTTTCCCTGCCAAGGCCTAGAACCAGTCAGGCTTCTTGGTGGAGGCCCCGCAGACAGACGGGCGTGGCTGCGGCCTCAGCCCAGGTGTCCACAGGAGCAGTCCAGGGTGCAGGTGCAGGGTGCAGCTCTGGGCCACCCCGGGGAGCCGGGGTGAGGACGCTGTGAGACCTCAGAACACACAATGGCCTCCCGTGGGCTCTGCTCAGCTGGGGCCACACAGGAGAGTTGCAGTGTGGGACCCAAAGAGGCACTTGGACTTTAGCCACACAGACCGACTCTGAGTCTTCACCCCATTTCCTAGCAAAGGGTAAGGGATGGTCCCAAAGACCCCCGAGCAGCAGGGCAGCTCTTGTTACCTCCACGCAGGGCCTTGGGAAGTCAGGATGACATAGTCCTGTCTCCTGGGCAGGAAACAGCTTTCCTGCTTCTCCATCTGCTCTTACCTAGGAGTGGAGCATCGCCCCGGAGCCTGCTCTTACCTAGGAGTGGAGCATCGCCCCGGAGCCTGCTCTTACCTAGGAGTGGAGCATCGCCCCGGAGCCTCGTGGAGAGGGGCCGGGGTTGGACAGGTGCCTCCGAGGGCCTCCTCCAGCCTGGGGCCTCATACCCCAAGCCCCTGCCATTTTGTTTCTCTCCTTCTTTGTAGGGAAGTGACCAGGCCAGGATGGGTGGGGCAGTGTTTGAGCCCTGCTCTGGCCACCAGTAGCTACTCTGTGAGTTTCCTTTGAAGCCCAGGCCTCCCAGGGCCTGGAACCAGTCCCTGTGGAGAGCCTGAGTGGGCATGGTCCCAAGGGGGTGCCTGATGGATAGCTGGAAGAGGTGGCCCGAGCCAGCAGGGTCAGGGCGGGGGACAAATCTTGGGCCTCAGGCATACACCCAGGGGTCTGGCAAGACCAGGACCCAGCTCTTTGGGTGAGAAAGTCCTGCTGTCCACTCAGGTCAACCCCAGACAGCAGTGTCCACTCAGACCTACTTCTGGGGCCCTCATGCAGCCCCCCACCCGAAAGTGCACCCAGTTACTGTTTGCTCCCCCAAACATTCATTCAAGGGTCCAGTCCTGTCCTCAGCAGCAAAGGCTTTGAGACCATTTCATTCATTCATTCATTCATTCATTCATTTTTTCTTTCGTTTTGTGAGTCTGGGTGAGATTTAGTGGGCCACAGTATTTGCATAGGATGACTCCAGAGGGTGCTCCAGCCCAGGCTATATTCCCCAAAATAGTTCTGCCTTGTCCTGCCTGACCCTCCTGTCCCCAGGAGTCTGCCAGGAAGTTATGTCTGGTCATCTGATTTATAATAGGAAGCAGCTCCATCCCGTCCCCCGAGGCCGGGGCCCAGGTGGTCAGACTGTGGGGGCCTTAGAAAAATAAACTCAATCCAGCCAGGTCCTGGCAGCCCTGCCCTGCCCTGCCCGTCACTAGACAGGCCAGCTCCGTGCCCCAGCCCAGCTCATGTGGGCACAGCCGCCCTCGGCAGGAAAACCGCTCCTGGAATAACTCCGTCTGAGGTGACACCCCGGGGCAGGTTCTGTGCCCTCTCACAGCTGTCATAGCCAGGAGCAGCGCAGGCTGGTCCTCAGGGAGGCTGAGGAGGCTGTAGCTATGTCCTCCAGTGTCTGAGGCCACTCTGGCCCTGCTCTTAGGAGCCCAGAGAGGAGAAGCTAGGAGCCCAGAGGCCTGGGTCGGAAGCACGGGACACCTCCAGGACGCTGGAGAGTCACAGGGCAGCCGTCCGCCCTGCCCTCCAGGAACTCTCAATCCAGTCAGAACGACCCTCAGGACCAGGACCCGTGACAGGGCCAGTGTAAGATGGAAATACGAGACCCCTTCATTCAAAAATCATTGAGAATTTCCAGACAGTGACAGCAGGGCATTAACCTAAGAACCGGGCCCTTGTACGAATGGGCCCTGTGTGACCTACTCGGGGACGACAACTTGGAAATCCCAGGGCCCGCGGGGGTTTGTCAGGATGCGGAGACCCCGCCGGAGTCTCTCGGGTGAGACACGGATAGGTAGATGGAGGCACACCTGAAGTTTGGATGTCATTCCCGGGGTGTCTGAGCTCCGACCCCGGCCAAGCCCACTCTGCTCTCCTTATAGTTATCACTCTGTGCTGTGTCTTCAACTGCCGCGTGCCGCGGACCCGGAAGGAGATCGAAGCCCGGTACTTGCAGAGAAAGGCGGCCAAGATGTACACCGACAAACTGGAGACCGTGCCGCCCCTCAACGAGCTCACAGAAGTCCCCGGAGGTGAGCGGGCCCAGGCCCCCAGCCTCGCCACCACCCAAACCTGCCAAGCCGGCCACTTCCGAAGTCCTGCCACCCAGCATCACCCATCCCCTGCAGTAGGTTCAGGGGGAGGGAACTCAGCTCTGTCCCTGGAGACCAGAGCACGGAAATCGGTCCCTGAGGGGCAGCGGAAAGGAGGCAGGAGGGGTTGGGAAGGAAGAAGGACATGAAGGGCTGTGTGTGGGAGGCGCGCGGTGGGCCCCAGGGCCCCGTCTCACTCCCGTCGCGTGCTGCCTCCTTACCCCGCAGATGATAAGAAGAAGAAGAAGAAGAAGGACAGTGTGGACACGGTGGCCATCAAGGTAGAGGAGGATGAGAAGAACGAGGCCAAGAAGACAGGAGAGAAATGAGGAAGGCTTCCTGGAGGTGGCGGCTGGGGCTGGCAGGCCCGGGGGCGCGAGTCCTGGCCAGGGTCCAGGCATCTCAGACTCCGAGCTCACACATGGACCATACAGGTTGTAGAACATCCTCTCCCTGCTCGGAGGGGGCTGCCGAGGCCCATGGCCATGGCCTCATGGCCAGTCGGGGGTAGGTACAAGGTTGCGGGGGTCCTCCCTCCTAGCCCAGACTCTACTCCTTGACCCCATCCATGTGGCCACTCAGCAAAGTTGGTCTTGGGCCACTGTTCCTCTGCAGACCCACCCCCAGACACACCTCTGTCCCATCCCTTCTGCCAGAAACAGCAGTGGCTCTAAAGGGGTGACGGTATGTGGTTGACTCCTGGAAGAAGGTGGCCACTGGATGGACTGGGGTGTGAGGCCACACTAGGCTGGCCACGAGGACAGAGAGGGTCACCAGGGGAAGCTGTGGCAGCAGGAGGTTCTTAGACTTGGCTGGCGAGCAGCCCTAGTGGCAGGGGGGCTGCCCCAAACCTGGCAGGGGTTCTGGCCCAAGGGGGTGAGCAGAGGTGGCCTGGAAACAGACCCCCAGGCCAGCAGACCACGTTCCAGGCAATGGAACGTACTTTTACACATTGCGATGGAGTGACGAGGCCAACGTGGAGCCCGGGGACTTGGGGATGGGGCCAGCCGCGGTGGGTCACAGGTAGAAGAGGCTGAGGGCAGCCGGTCAGGAGGAGAAGGGAAGAAGGCTGGCACCTGCGCCCCATCCTGAGGATCCAGGGAATATTTGAGAAGCCAAAGGGGACCTTGGGCTGTTCTGTGGCCCTTTCTCTACTTGGTGAGGTGGGAGGTGTCAGGGCCCTAGGATCACCACAGGGGGCCTTAGGGGCTGAGGCAGCAGCCAGCCCTCTGCCTGCTGACCGGGACGGCCCGCAGCTTCCCCTCCTACCATTCTCGACTGCGGAGCCCAAAAAAGCACTGCTGACAAGAAAGTGAGGGCCCCCAGGCCACCTGGGGACTGAGTCCTTCGGGAGGAGAGAGGCACAGAGGGACTTCCGGGTGGCAGCGAACATCAGCTGAGGCATTCGGACTTGGGCTGGAGACTAAGAAGACACCAGAGAAGGATTCTGAGCCAGGGGAGCTGCTGGAAAAGCCCATGGTCCCTGCAGGCTGCAGAGATCTGTAAATAAAGCTGAGTGTCTTCTCAGATCCGTGACCTGACATGACCCGTCAGGATGCCCCATCCCTTGAGCATTTACGTGGAGGGTGACGCAGCCATCGGTGATAGGTGGCGCCCAGGCCAGGTTGAAGTTCCCTCCCCCGACGTCTCCCCCTGTCTGAATTAGGATGAGCTGGAGGGAGACATGGTGACCAAGAGGCACAGGGGCCGCTGCAGCCAGGTGGAGCCTGAGGCCGGGCATCGGACCGAGGAGGAAGCTGCACTCTCCTCCGCTCCACCCCGTGGCTTTCGATAGGCCTTCGATGGTCTGAGTCCAGTGCTGGGGACACAGAGGAGTCAAATCTGGATGCTGACCTGAACCCGGATCATTACTACACAAGGAGAGGCATGCAGGCTGCCATGGGGGAGGAGCCCAGGGGCTCGGAGCAGGGAGGGGGCAGAGAGATGGCGGAGGGCCATCTGCTCAAGCTGGGTACTCACCCTGTCACCAGGGGGGGAACCCCGACTCTGCCCTCAGGGTCTAGCCTCTGGACTGCTCATACACAGGATTGGGGTGAAGGTCATTCTACCCATACAGACCAGCACCCTCCTGTGTGGCCGGGCAGCAGACACCCAGAAGGACAGGGGCCACTTGAAATCAAACAGAGGAGCAGCTCGTAAAGCCTGGAGGCGTCCAGACTCGGGCTCCATCTGCCCTGCCAGCTGCCTCCCTGACCTCTGACCTCGGCCTCCACTAGCCCTCTATGGACAGGCATGGTGCTGATGGTGGGGATAAGTCTGACCCCGGTGGGGACCTGCCCCATCTTCAGGCAGGGGCAGCGCTGGAAGGTCAGAGTTCACTGTGGTGCTTCAGGCCAAGGACAGCATATGTTGTAGCCACTGGCCAGGAGCGGGGACGATGTTGGGAGAGCCCCACTTAAAGCGGCACAGAAGGAACGCACTCGGACCCCGGCCCGGGCCCCGTCGCACCCTGCCAGCTTCAGCCTGGGCAGTACATTCTGGGGCCTCCATCATGTGACCCCAATATCATCCCCATACACACTCTCTCCCTTCTGCAGGAGCCACCGCAAGCCCCTGGGGGAGGCAGATCCCGGGCCTCTGCGCTCGCCAGCGCCTGGAGTCCCCAACCCGCACCCCCCCGCCCCTCAGTTTGGTTCACCCACCTCCCACTGGAGCAGGCTCAGGGAGCGAGGGGCCCCCGAGGCCCAGGAAGGAGGCCACATGGGGAAGAGAGATGTTTAATGGAGCACCTAGTCTCTGCCCTGCCTTGCAGGGTCGGAGGGGCTACACCTGTAGCATTCTGGACATGGGGGTGAGGAGGGGCTGGGCAAGGGAGGCGCCCCGGGGATGGGCCGAGCGTGTCAGCGGGCGGCGAGGAGGCCGAGGGGCAGCAGCAGTGCCAGGAGCAGGGCCCGGGACAGGGCTGGCGGGGCCTGCCCACTGATGCTGTCCCAGATCCAGGACTGGTAAGCAGAGACCCGCAGGTAGATGGGTGGGGCCTCGCTGTGCTTGCAGCCTGGGCCCCAGGTCACCATTCCCACCAGGTACCACGTGTTCTCCACAGGACAGGCCAAGGGCTCCCCACTTATCTCCTGCGGGAAGGGGTGCAAGAACAGGCCACGTCAGGGAGGCCAGACAAGGCCTGGGGGGCACGAGATGCAGCTCTGGGCCAAGGAGGGTGCCCTCGCACCATCTCCACAGGCCCCGAGTGTCGCGTAGCTGAGAGGTGACCACGGGGCACACCTAGGAGACCTCCCTCGGAGGGGTCTCTCTCCCTTCTCTCTCCGCCCCCCTCCCTTCCACACCCTGCACTTCCCAGCACCCCCATCCTCCTCCCTCACCTCCACCCTCCATCCCCACTCCCCGCCCCGCTCAGCTCACCCCAACTTTGTCTTTTTCCTCCATCCTGTCTCCCCTCCTCCATCTTCCTGCTCAGTCACCCCTGCTCACCCCCTCCCCACTCTCTCCCTCCTCTCCTTCCTCCCCCCGCCATGCCCCTGGCCCCACTCCTGGCTGGGTGCCTTGGAGGTGAGTGAACGAGGGGACAGGTGCTCACGTAGCAGAAATGTTCCCTGTGAGTGTCCTTCGCACAAATCATCTGGGAGTTGATGATCCGAATCAGCGAGGAGATTTTGGTGAATTTGTGGTAGAAGTTGTCACACTCCTTGTTGTTCAGGATGGTGACTTCCTTCTCTTGAATGGTCCGGAACTGGGGCCATCTGCCTGTGGGATGGGCACCCCCCATTCGGGCGTGGTGGTTTCTCTGCTGCCCACTGCCGCCGGCCTTGTGTGCCACCGTCCTTTGCTCTTGCCCTCTCCCCCGGCCTCATCCACCCGCCACACAACAGCCCTGGAGGACTCTCCGGGCTCAGCCCACCTGCCACTCCAGCAGACACTTCTCACCCACGCCTCGATGCAGAGACCTCGGAGCAGGCCGCCCACAGTCTGGCCTTGCTGGACCTGGCCTCTCTTCCCGCAGAGTCCAACCCCCTGGGTCCCTTCCCCGGTCGGCACCTTCTATCCCCCGTGCTCCCACACTCCTCTCCGGCCCGGATCCCTCCTTCTCAAGCCCTCCCCAGAGGCCTCTTCCTCCCCTGGGTTTGCCCAGATGGCCCTCCATGGGCCCCAGGCACTGCTTACTCCACTCTGTCCCCAGCCTAAGCTCCTGGGGGACAGGAGACTTCTGACCATTCTCAGCCATTCCCCAGACAGGCCAAGGCAGGGAAAAGAAAAAGCCACTCCTCCCCGGCCCACCCTGGGCTGGTGTCCCTGTAGGCTGTTTGGGGGCAAGTAGGCTGTGTGGAGCTACAGGAAAGGGTACGTCTCTAGTGGGAAAGGATAAGGGTCCCCAGTGAGTGGACATTCCTGGAGCTCGTACGGAAATGGACCCGTGGATGGCCAGGGACAACACTCCTGCTCTGTGGGCCTTGCTCCCAAACTGGAATGACGTGGGATCGAGGGCCGCTGCGGGGAGGGGCAGCCAGAACCTGGCTCCTCGCACTCCCCACGTTCTGCTTCAAGTTACGGGTGCCCTGGGGCTACGTGCAGACAGCGAGAGATTCCTGTGCCCGTCTGCCATCAAGGAAGTCCTGTTTACACGCTTCGGCCTGGGCCTGCGGGTTCTTGGGCCATCTGGGTCCCCTGAGGCCTGAATGGCCATGACATATTCACACTGAGACCCTCGAGGGGAAGAAGACATTGGACACAAGAGCCTGATGGGAAGGTCCCGGACAGGGCTTCTGGGGATGGTGTCTCAGAAACGTCTGTCCCTGGCACACCCCAGCCTGCGCCCAGGTCCTCTGCCCCAACTCACCATCCACCCTGGGGAGTCCCCAGCCCATCACAGTGCAGACGGAGTAGTCCTTCAGCTCGTAGTCAAGGCCGGGCAGGCAGATGGGCCAGACGTACTCGCTGTACTTGAGTGACCGCTCAAGCTGGAGGAGGCCGATGTTGTTGGCCTTGCCGACCCAGGACCAGTACCGACGAGACTGGAACCGGCTGTTCACAATGAGCCGGCGCACTGGGACATCGGAGGTCGTCTGAGCTGTCTGGTTGATCCAGGGGCTCCCCACCCGCACTGAATAGATAACGTCGTCCCTAGGCGAATCGCGAGGGGAGTCTGCCATCAGCGCCAGGCCCCACGCCCCAGCCTCCACGCCACTGCCGCACCCTTCGCAAACCCGGGCAGGCCGCCCCCCACTTCCAGCCCTCTGAGCCGAGTCCTCCTCACGACACACGTGAGCGGGGTCCTGCACGCAGTGTGGCGTGTCCTCACAACACCCTTCATTTCATGGAGGGGAAACCGAGGCTCAGAGAAGCCCAGTGACCAGCTGAAGGCTACACAGCCAGAAAGTAGTGGAGCTGGGATGCTGACCAACGTCTCTGGGATGCTGACCAATGTCTCTGGTTCCAAACTCTGGACTCTGTCCAGCGCCCTGCGCCAAGCCCTGGCAGCGACAGGTCCCGTGCAATCAGGCCTGGCCTCACCCTCCAGCCTCCTTTCCCAGCATGCCCCTGGAGTCTCCGTGCAGATCCTTAGGCTCGGAGCGTGCTTCTCCACCGGTCACCCTCGGGCCAGCCACCCTGCTGGCCTGGGAACATGGGCACACCCTCTCTGTTGTCCCCACACCGACCAGACTCCCCTGTGAACATCTTTCTCCTTGTCTGTCTTCCCCAGCAACCTGAGAGGAGTGACGTGTCCCCTCTCTGTCCCCAGTGCCCAGGCCAGCACCTGGCTTCAAACGACTGTCAAAAGCTCTCAGTTGAATGAGAGAAGGAGCAAGTAAGTGAAGCAAAGGGCGGGGAATGAACGAATTAGAACCTTCTTTCTGTGGATGGGAGGAAGGAGGCTGGGACGATGGCTTACGAGTCCCCGGTGCCTCTCTGAGGAAGACTGCACAGGACTGAGAGGTCACGAGAGGGCAGCAAGCTCCTAGTTCCTGTAGAAAATCTGTAGAACTCAGCCCCGGCCTGCTCGGAGCCGGGGTGAGGCTGGGGCCGGGGCTGCTACTGACAAGCGAGCTGGCAAACGACCGGGCCTCCCAGTGGCTCCAAATGCCTTTCCGCCTGCCCGCCTCGGCCCCAACTCACTGGATCAGGCAGTGGGCCACGGTCAGCACCCACCGGGAGGCGATGAGGGATCCTGCACAGATATGTGTGCCGTTGGCCTGCACACTGACCATCCATGGCCACCGCCGAACCTTGGACGCTGGGTCCCTGAGGGTGGGGTCAAACTCATAGGACATGCCACAGCCTGAGGAGGAAGGCAGAAGCCTGATGAGGGGGTGGCCCTTCCAGACACATCCATGGCACCTTACACTCCCTCCCCTCAGCCTGACCCCCCACCTCTCTAGGCTCTGACTGGCACCTATCCAGTGATTCTCCTTTCCCACAGGTCGTCATGTAATGATGCTGTCGGGGTCTCCAGCCTCAGCGCTCCCCGAATTTTCTTCTCCCTGGTGCCACTGCTCAGGCCCCACCCAGAGCATTCCCAGCCGGACAGCCTGCCCCTCCATCCTGGCCCCTCAGCTCTGGCAAGACCCTTCACATCTGGTTCCCCTTATTATGGCCCAGGCAGATTCCTCTCCCTTCTCTGGAAACCCCCTCCTGTGATTCAGTGAGAGAAAGGCAAATGACCTAACAGGAAAATGATCCACGAGCATGAACAGACCCGGCCCGGGGAAGAAGCCCCAGCAGCAGACCACACAGAGCCCCTTCAGTCCTCAGGGAAGTGCGGGCTTACATCACAGTGGGGCCTCACTCCACACACCTGCCGGGCGAAGCTAAACGTCCCTGCTGCCAAGCCTTGCTGAGGATTACTGCCTCCGACCAAGTGGCTGCAGACACTTGGGAAAAGATTTACAAACCCAGGCGCACACAGCCAGCATCGCGGCCGAGTCCCACGCCCAAGTGTTTTCCAAATCGATTATTGGCTCATGAAGCCAGCGTTAAGTGGGCCACGGCCAGCGTTTAGAACGGCTGGTGAGGGAGAAGAAATGGCATGCACGGCAGAGTGCTCTTGGTCCTGTGTGTGACACTGTCCGTGGCAGTTCGATTGCGTGCACTGAGTTCCACGTGGGTCTCAGTTCAACATTCTTGAAAGCCGCTGCTCAAAGCCGCCGCTCAAGACAAGGCTTGCATGTGCGCCCCCAAGACATGCGCAGGAGGGCTATACTGGAGATCCCCCAGTCCTCGGCTGGGAGCCAGGGGCAAGAGAAGGCTGGGCAGAGCCTGGGCCCAGTGGAGAGGTGACAGGCCCCACAGCAAGTTCAGGGAAGTGGGAACATGTAGCCCACCCCAGGATCCTCTGAATTTCTGTGCCTCCTACCTCCCCAGGATGCGAGGAAAGGCAGGTCTCTTCCCACTCCCCCTACCCCTTCTGCCTCTGTCCCTGCTGTCCCCAGGGATCAAAGGTTTTGAAGACTCCAACACCAACACCCTCCTTCCCC